CAATCCACGACACCTTCCTTTGTTGAACTCCCGAACATCATCCTAAAGAGCCACGAGACAAACGACTTTCACAGCTCCAAAGTTGCAAGTGTTCATTTTTTATCATGTTGGAGAGGCACAGATCAACTCCTTTAACGTCGCTCCAGAGTGTGTGCACGTTTGTCTGATGCCCCCAAAGAAGTCTGTTATTCCACCCGAGGTTCCAAGGAAAATCTGTCATGCTATACTATCAATGTTTTCACAGTTGTCACTTTATCTGTCCGACAAGATTCATGATTTCCAAGGTAGAGAACTGCAGCACCCAGAAGAGAAGTAGTAAGTACTGTAGACGGTCTACCTCACTGATCAGGTCCATCCTTGGTCTCATCATAAACCACTACTCTTTTTGGATCTGCACAGAGGGAGGGGGGGGAGAAAGGAGGCAAAGGGTTAGATGATTCAACAGATTCGTCTCAAAGAACACAAGCAATAGATGATCCTGATTCAGATCGAAAATTTGTCTGTATTTTATTCAGGCTAAGGCATCTGAAAATGCATTTCACTCCACATTTGGGAACGTTGGCTTCTTTCATTAATGAAAAACAGGTTTTGTTTATATTTCTCTAGTATTAAAAGTACCATTTTGGTATTGGCATACAAACTGAACTACCCAGCCATAGCAATAATGGCGTATTCCATTCTAGCTAGAGGTGGGATGTTAGCGAACATAGCCTCAACTCAAGCCTGTGCTGATATCGCCAGACTGTTTGGAATAATTGCTGCATTTCATTTGCCAGCTGGCAACACTGCAGTACCAGAGGAGCACACACCAGCAGCATGTCACACTCAGTAATTTTAACAGCGTCTCTGTTGGTGATTACCTTGGGTTGCTTATGTTTCTTCTGTTTAGTAATAAAACAAATGTGACCTTTTGTCATTCAAGGATTTACTGTTATGTGATGTTAGTCCATGATATACAGCCTATATATCTGTCCTTGAGAGGCACGATGTTGAACACATCAATGCAGCCTTTGTGCACACGCTGCCGTACGGCCCAACGAGATCAAAAATTAATTTGTGCATGTCCTTAAAGTGATTTATAACAATAAGTTAGCTTAACAAGTTTCAGGATCTTTCTAAGCAGGTCACCAGTATGTATTAACTAAAGGCCAGTCAATAGATGCACATGCACACTAATAATTTGATTGTAGCCACATTAAAAAAAAACAGAAAACATTTCTATTTTGTGACTGTAAAGGGCACAACGTTACAAACACTGCAAGTCATTTTGTATTTATATCCCATTTGGGTCAGAACCAAAACACCAATGCACTTGGTTCTGCACATTTATGAAGATAAGTAACTTCCTGCCTGGCACATTTCTCGATCTAATTCTTGTTGAGAAAACTGAGCTAATACTTCCAAAACTAGGGGGTTAGGAAAAAGTGAGACAACCAAGTTTAGTTTACCTTGTTTTTGCAAGTTGAAAATGAATTCCATTTCTGTTGAAAGAAAAAACACATTTTTTCAGCATCTGCACTAAGTGGTCACGAATGTTTTCAGAAAATGAAATACTGATCTCTTCAAAAAATACACAGTATAAAGACACTTAAACATACATTGCAATCCTTAAGATTTTCATAAAGCAAAACCCCATTTTGATCCTTCTGCAAAAGCCTTTTAATGCATTTACATCGTGTACTTATATATTATATATCAGTTAGTTTTCATTGTTAATGTCAGACTCCTCCATTCCTAAAGTGGATTCAAAACTGACAGGACGAGCGATTCACAGGAAACGATGGAGGATGTAATCCAGCGCTAGGGTTTGTAATTGATCATCAGTCTTACTGTTCAATTTCCTCTCTCCCAGTCAAACCACAGCTGTGTTAAGTTGCTGCTAATGCAAACCCAACATTTCCTAATGCTACACATTAAAAGCATTCAGCTGGTGAAACAGGAGGTGGCTCTTACTATGAAGCAGTCATTTTTGAAAGTTTTCATCAGCAGGTCATTTTAAAATTTTTGCAAGGCAATAACTGAACGGAGCAGCTACAGTGAGCTGTGAGATGAAGAATGCAGGCAACAGGCTGCACACCACCTAACTCTCAGCAAGGCCACCAACTCCTGTTACAGTGCCCTGCTGTCATGTGGCAAACTGCTTGCACAGCATGGACTCAGATTGCAGCTGCAATGATTACTGACTGACTACTAACACAATGGTAAAAACATCTTATTGTGAGGATTTAGACAGATATCACTATTAGTTTGATGCACAATTAGTGTGGGACTGATCAATTTGCATCGCAAATGCACAATACATTGTCACTGAATATTTTTGGGGTCTGTACCGAACACGTCACACACATTACGTTTCCTTTGCAATATGGCCGTGTGCAATTTGCATGCAATTTCAATAATATTTACATGAATTGTGCAGCACTAGTAAGCAGATAAACCATTATCGCTTCTGTTGGGTTTTTGACATGACATGTTTGATATTAACCACAACTGTTGTTACCACCAATCTAAATCTTAAGGATTACAGATTAAAATGATTACACAAATTAATTTGATAAACAGTAAAAGTTACCTTTAGTGTGATAAGTGACAGCAGCTTTAATGTCAAAGGACCCCCAGCTACGCCTTCTGCCAATGTCTTTAGAGTGGGTCTGTTCTTTAGATGAACCAAACAACAAAGTGGTTAGCTGGCCCTGCGCGGGCTTAGCACCGTTGTCTTTACTGGAGGCCGACGCAGCAGAACCTGCACCCTTGCCCTCAGCTTTTGTCTTTTCCGGACCACATGGCTCCAGCTTGTTCTCCTCCTCACTCATCACACAAGCAGGAGAGCAAACATTAGACACACTGCAAGGGGCACAAGTCCTTTTCTCAGGGTCTTGAGCCAAAGTGCCAGGCTCTAAGAATGATGGGCTAACATCAAAGCAGGGCTGGGCAGCCTTGGCTGCAACAGCGTGACACTCGCTTTGAGGTGTGACCACAGTAGTCTTGTCCTCTGCAGGCACCTGGCCACTTCCTCCTTCTGGGCCCAGGTTGGGCTCATTGATGAAGGAAAGCCCCCACTGATTCTGGAAGATATCTCCCAAGGCTTTCTGATTTGTCTGAGCAGCCGGTGGGTCAAGGTGCCGAGCACTAGGGAGCACAGGTTGCATATTTAAAGGGTAAATTAAAAGAGTACACTTTCTAAGATCATATGCTTCTCCATCTACAGGACTAGTTGTAGAGCTACAGTTACTTTCCAAAGGGGATGCTACATTCTCGCCACTTGGGATAGATGGGGCTGGTGGAATACTACTAGCAGCAGGAGCGAAGAAGGTACCCACTGGGCAGCTGTTTCCATTCCCAGAAACAGGACCATTAGTAAAGCTAGCTGAGGTGATAGTTTTCATAGCAGACATGGGGACCTGTGATAGTCTAACAGTAGGAGGCAGTGCCTCTCCTCCACCTTGAGCTACTTTGTTGAGGTTTTCTTTTACTTTACTTGCATAACTGATCTTGGGAACAATTTTAGCACTGCTATTGTCCACAGGAAATACTGGAGGGGGCTTGAACAGAGTCCATGAGTCCTCTTTTGAAGGTGAGGAAAGCTTGGCTTTGTGCCTTTCCTCAGTCTTTTTACCGAAGGTGCCAACTATTTTGCCATCAGAGTTTTTCCTCTGAGATTCACCCACTGAAGCCTCTGACGCAACAGCCCGTCTAGCTGCTGACTGAGCTTCTACTTTATGGGCGGCTCTAAAGCCATCGAGTCTAGAAGTTACTCCCTTCTCAGTCGTCTCAAGATTAAAAGCCCCATGCTCCTGTGTAGTGCTGCCCTGCTGCATGTCTTTCTCCTTTTCTCTTATCACATTATCAGTGTTCTTGCCGTTGTTACATCTGGCCTTGCGTTTTTTAGGAGTAGTATATCCACCTTCGGAGCCGCTGCCATCATTGTCCTTGCTAGAATAGCCATTTGTAATTAAGCCACAGTTTACGACGCCATTTTGAAGCAACACAGCGTCTTTCTTATCCAAAGGTTGGCCCTCATGGTGATTCAAATCCAGGCTCTTATCCTTGTCATTTTTAAGGTCCATATTCTTCTTATGGTCCAATCCTTTGCTGCTCACTTTGGGAACAGTCGCGTACAGCTTTTGTGTTGACTTCTGCTTCACATTTGTATTACATCTGTTACCATTACTGTTGGGGGGGTGCGACATACCAACAGTATCAGACAGATGTGTATTCTTCTCCCCCTCCTCCTCACTGATGTTTACTTTTTTACTGCCTGAAAGGGGAAACAGAATCAGTTTTACTGAAATGATGGAACACCTCAACCAGAAAAAGCTGCATCAATTCACCTGACCACAAAACCTGATGCTGTATCTACTGCCATACTAGTATGCTACTAATATTTAAGATCTTTGAATGTGAATTATCCACTTTCCATTCACATTCATCATTTACAGACACTTGTCAGGCGTTTCCTATGCAGCAGTCAATGTTATTAAGTGAGAGTCAATGTTGTTGTCTGACAAGAGAAGAGAAAATATTCATGTCATTCCTAGTTTGCGTTCATATTCCAAAATGAGCTGGGTGCTCGCTGTATTTAAGCAGATTATTATTTTTTTATACCATATCTGATCTGACACCAAAGACAAGTTGTTGCAAGGTAAAAGGACTGCATTATGAAACACATTCGGACTGACAGTGATCCACATGAACAGGTTTGCACAGAGGCAAGGGGGGACTGCTGTGTCAACGTGGGGCTTCCCATTAAATGGTGCTGCCCCTCATGTCAGTGGGCACAGCACACAGCCTCGCTTCTCTTAATACACGGACGCAGACTCACATGTTTGCAAGCAGACGTACTGACATAGCCGCCAGCTAACGTAAGGTCGATGCTTACAGCGTCTGTTCAGCTGCAGCAAACCGTATCTTCATCAAGTGCTCATAACCGAGTTACTGCGTGGCTTCACGTTGACTGGACAACATGCAACAGGCCTGTCAAGATATGGCTAGCGACTCGTTTTGGTAGCAACACGCCCCGACTGCCACCAATACATGGTTGTGCCAACAGAAAGCCGCCCAACACCGAGCGAGCCGAGTAGGCGAAAGACGCTAAAGGCACGCTAGTACGACACAGTATCGTGGTTGTGCAAACAATTATTAACTCTCCAGGTAACCACAGCATTAGCTCGCAGTGATAGTCTAACATGGCCGACAGGAAATGGCAGCTCAGAACATTCCAGTGGAGCCGGCTCGGTTTCCTTCACCGGACACAAGCGTGCTGAAATGAATAACCTACAGCTTTCACTATAGCTGAAGGCGACGAGCTATACGCAACGAATGCGTTTGTTACATCGGGGGGTTTTCTGAACTGATTTAGTGGCATTTTCCAGAAGAAAGCTGCGTGGTGAAACCGGCGCACAAGGTCAATCCCCGATATGTCAAACCACCACCAGCGACAACTGTCACGCAACCTCAGCTCGCCGTGTAGCTTGCTCATTTAATGGTTGCTTTCTGGTCCCCACAGTGGCCAACTATCGGGCCAACCAGTGCGCTACTCACCAGCTGCAGCCTGTTTTTAATTATTGCAGTCAACAGCATGTAGCGTTAGTTTGAATAAACAGCTAGCTAGCAGGCGAAGCTCCCAATCACGATGGAGTTAATGTTAGTTAGCAAGAAAGGCTAGTCGGCTCGTTGACATTAGCTGAGTAAGGCTAGCAAGCGTTAGCTCACTTTTCCGGATGGCCCAACCTGTTTTCTTCGTCTGCGTTTCCTGATGCTGGCGCTGGAAGTGGCTCTGATCATGTTTTAGACAAGTTGTGTGTTGAGTAGAGTGTCTGTCCTCTCCGTGGTGGTGGTATGGTCTCTCTTGTGCCCGATCTTTGGGCTGTTCCTCCATTGAAGTGTAGAATGTCGGACTTGTTCAGCCACCGCGTTAGCTCCGTGGGTAAGTACAGAGCAGTCCAATCACTACCAGAGTAAAACGGAAGCTATTTGAAGCCTCTGGAAACGTCAGCAGTAAACGTCTAAAAATGGCACTGTTTTGGGTGGTCACCGCCACTAAACCCCGTGTCCAGGGTTTTGGGCTTTGAGTTATGCGGCGAATATATATATATATATATATATATATATACATTTTTTTTTTTTTTGCAGAACTTTCCAGATTTTTTTTTGGTAGATGTTTCAAAGTGTCACTCCACACTACAATAACGGAGAAGTGTTAGTGAAGAAATCTTTTTTTTCTGGGAAGGCAATAACGGGGTGGGGTTCGTGCGTGAACTAAAATCATATGACCGGAGGCGCTGCCACGTCTCCAGCCGGTGGACACTTCGGCGAAGGGTCCCGGGGAGACCAAACCACACTCCCAAAATGGAAAATGAACGTATCGCAAATTCAGTACATCAGTCCTCAAACATTCCTGATTCATTTGCGAGGATTTTTTCGCACATGGGGAATAAAACAAAACAAGGTTGCATTTTTTCTGCTTTTGTGCCTAAAGAAGACAGAAATGTATACTACAATTTGTGCAACATGTATCTTTAACCAAGAATAACACATTTTCATACTTAATACCTTAATTTAGCACATGTCCCTCTATATCTATATATAGATATATATATATATATCTATATATATCTATATATATTTTATTTGCTATTTATCTTATATTTATTGCATATCCCATCACAAATACCCCCACACACATATAAAGATAGCCAGGGTTCCACTGCAAACTAATACCCCTCTATTTGCAAAAAACAAAACAAAAACATGGAGATATCGCTTGGAAATGATTATTCCATTATCACAAAACAGAGGATGAATTTATCTATTATGCATTTATTGAAGAAATTAGCACTTATCCTCAGTAAGTGTTTAAATAGAGCAGTGGGCAGAGTAAGTCATTAAGGTATTATATATCTTGTGTGGAATGGTTGTGTTGCTTTGTATTCCCTCAATGTCTGCCCTTCTTCTATTCTTTAAACAAAATGTTGTTCCTTTAACTGCCCCACAATTAAGATGTCTATCAGGACCAGACTACCGTCAAGTTCTTGTCCTCTGACACTACTAAGTGAGTCAAATCACCCTCTGATTTAATGTGTGGACCGGGCTTAATTGCTCATCTGTGACAAGTCAAACAAAGAGTAGATGCATACTAAACAGGGTTTGAACAACTGAATGATAGCCATAGTTAGTTTGTAGAGCCTGTAGCGATAAAAAACCTCACCCAAAAATGTAAAAAATGAAATAAGAGCAATACTATATATACACATTGCACATGTAAATATTGTGCAAGGAACTAATAATTTGTATATCAAGGGTGGTTTATTTGCTAGTTAATATCACACACAATAAATATGATTTTTTTTTTTTTTAATTCTGAATGTAAAAGTTCCAAACAGCAAAAGACCCTCATCTGACACTGAGTACAGAGTCTCTTATACTGTATGATCTGGCCTATGTGGGAACGTGTGGCATAGTGCAATATTGCTCATGTGGGACATAAAAGAGCACACAGCACCCTCTTGTGGCTAGAGATACAGTCTCAGGTTTTGTATATACAGCACGGTGTCACGCAAGAGGAGCAGTGAAAGCTGAGCAATTCACTTTGCAGTCAAAACAAAGGTGTTTTTATAAATTTAACAAACTTTGTTGAGAGTTCTGTTGAGCCCGTATTCAAAGATTCGTAGTTGTGTGATTGATGAAGACAAGATTAATGTAACAGAACAAATTATTATTTTGTGTTTTTCAAGATAATATGTGTTATTATGTGAGATAATTTCTTTGTAATGATGTACCTATTCCTGTCCGCAACTATAGAAATCTCAAAGCGTTTTGTTTGTTGTTTTGTTTGTTAAAAACAGGTCTATAGGGATCCTCTCATCATTCCTTTACTGCTATTTCGAGAAAGAGTCCATCTGTGTTTCACACAGACATACAGTGCTGATGTATGCAGCCCTGCTCCTACTGTTTATTCATGTGACAGCTATACCTTTTAAAATAAAATATTAGTATGACAGCTTCCTTTTATTTCAAGATTTCTTCTTAAAATGAGACCAGGTTTCCAGTGAAGGATCTGGTCCCCAGGCATGTTCATACAGAAATTCATAATCGAATCTCGCAGTATGTTAAGAATCCATACAGTCAGTGTGGGTACTGAGCAAGTCATTAGATCAGATAAAGAGGCAGTTATCGCAGTAGCATTTTGCACATTTACCACATGAAAGTAGAGTGAGGATTGAGAGTAACCTTGAATGAGGGGCGTATTAGAGGGAAGACAGATCTGTGAAAACTATAGTTCACTACTGCTAAGGTGCTTCTGGGCTTAGAGAAAGTCATAGTTTAAAGAGCCAGTTTAGAATATGATTTTCTTCTTGTTCCTACAGTGTGCTGTTTGAGCTTCACTGTGCACAATGATGTATGTGCAGAGTCTGACACTGAAAAGATGTTTTCACATTAATATGCTGAAAGTAGAAAGTTTATCTGCATTGAAAATCAGATTTCTATGGGGCGGGGCCTGCAAGCATGATTTCTGACATCACAAATATTTTGGATGTCAGTTTTGGTCCAGTACACCACTTATACTAGTGTGATGTAGAAACTTGAAGCCGCCAGTGCACATGCACCGAGAATGGACTTTACAGTGAAGTAGGAGACATCTTGTGGCCAGCAGGAAAACTTGAATGAACAAAATTCATATTCATAGATTTTAGAATTTTTTATGAGGTAAAGGAGTTTAAAGGACTTTATTCAAGGATTTTAATGAGTATATTATACAAAATTTGCAGGAAAAAAAATCATATCTGACACACATTATTATTCCAATTTGTATATGTCTTAATACATGTCTGAAGGGGATTTTTAATATAATTTACTAAATATTATAGCTGATAATTAAGTGTGCACATTAAGTGTAATCCCTTGGTTTAGACTCTGGCATGCTATTAAAGGGGGGGAGGGAAAACACATTTTCTCATATTACGTATCATCAAAATGAACATCATACATAAAAGTTACACTATGATTCAGTATTTCAAATAAAAGCATTTCTTTATTTTATATTGACCAACAAAAACTTCAAGGACATATGTTTCTTTAAAAAAATCACAAATAATTCTCAGTGTGTAACTTATTGGACTTGTTTAACACCAATACAACACCCATTGTGCAGATCTCAGGGGAACTATGTTTTGATAACTGTTCCACTATCAAGTGATCCAATCTCTAACAACAAAATTAAAATCTTTTTGTTGACATTATATATTTAATATGATTATTTCTATTAATTTTATTGTGAAAGGAACCATACTGGTAATTCACCACACTCCAGAGCCTGTTAACATCTTATAATGACATATTTTCACTTTTAATTTACATTAACTTGTTATTACTCTTTGGCTATTTGGCTATGTGTATGCCATGCCGTTATATAAACTTTGGTCAGTGTATCCTTCACTTCTTTAGGCATTAAATACCCTAATTTAAATTTGAAACACATTTTTAAAACAGATTATTCAAGTCTTTATTATGGAAAGGCTTCCTATTGGAGGGTTCAAAATGTAATTGAACTGATAAATATGCTAGATAAAATAGCCATGTCATAAAAAAATAATGTATTTCACAGGTCTGTAAAGCATAGCCGAGGTGAGAAACACAGCAGAGCTGCTAGTTCCAAAATGTGCTTCCTGGATGTAGTGATATATGTTTTGTCTCTGTGATATGACAATGTTCACCATTACACCAGTAAAATTAATGCACAAAGTAAATATTCCTCAGATGTGCTGTAGTCCAAATACATGTGAAGCTACAGAAACTGCATGTTTCCTAGAAAGTGTGAGATGCTATGCTTAAGATGCCGACTGTACACTCATACTGTACCCTGACATGTAATGCATAAAGCATCAGTGGCAATAAAAAGTGCATTTCTTTCGAAAGTATTAAAAATTCACAGAAACCAACGGACTCTTCCATGTCATGGAATTTCCCAATGGCACTGGACACGCAGTCACAACGCATCTTGCATGGCTCAGCTGAGGACTCTCAGCCTGTGAATGTTTCAGTGTAGAGAGACAGAATTAAAGGTATCCTGTGTCTTTATGGTTCTCAGACGGTGTGTCGTCACAGCTTGGCTAGAAGGTCTTCATGTCGTAGAACTTTGTAGGTTAGCCAGTAGAGGACATTAAACATGAGAAAGCTCATGGGGAAAACTGCTCTGGAGATGGTATCAATCCTTTTCGCCCGATCCACAAAGCGCCTGCGTATGTCATAGAAACCTAAACCGGGAGGTAAATCTGCAAAGACTGGTGTTGCATCCATTTCCGGCGCACTTCCTGCTGACAGTGCAAGTCCAAAACTCTGGAAGAGTAAACCCTGCTGTGCCAGCTCCTCCTCCTGGAAGAAACAGACACAGCACAGAATAACCATCTGCTCTCATTGAGAATCACATGTCTGTTGATCAGCTGGTGTTAAACTGAACAAGGCGACAGTACGTACCCGGGCACAGACACTGCACTGCTGGGCTACGTTGCCCTGAGCAGCATTGTTGCCTGACATGTTGTTTCCTTTAACCTTACTGTCACCACTTGACTGCTGATGAGGGAGAAAAAAACATAAATGTAATCATCAAACAGACTGCACTGATCAAACAGTTTCCAGCCACGACACAACTTCCCTGTGCTGCATGAATGTTTCAACTCTTGTACATTAACAAGTGATCATCATCTGTTTCTTACAAAGTGAATTCAAATCTGAGTAATGAGACAGCTTAAAGATGTAGTCAGAGCAAATTTCAATGGCATTGCATAATCCCAACAAATGAAGTACAAAGGTTCCAAGCAGATGTTTTGAGTATTGTGTTATAAATATTACAAGGTATTATTGAATCCTGCAGCTGCTGTCACACTGCTTCATTTAAGAAATACTTCATATTTAAAGGTGGTTTGGCCTATTTTTTTCTCTCCGTTTCTCTTTTCCTCGTGAGATCCAAAGTAAGGCAGCGATATGTTGGGAACATTCAGCCAACAGTGGAATATGGCAATGGCTTGTATTAATTACAGGTCAATGCCGTCTGTATTTCCCGGCTACAGTTCAACATGCAGCTGAGTTGTGTAGCTCGTGCATAGCTGGGCGCAGGGAATAGCAGGTGACAGTCGCCCGAGGGCCTGAGGGGGTGGGTTGCACTCACAGCTCTCTGCCGCTGTTGCTCTTTGAGCTTCTTCCTCAGTCTGAAGAACTCCTTGTGCTGGCGTGAAACAAAATTAACGGCTGCATACTCCAATAGTGCAGCAAACACGAATAGAAGACACACCGCCATCCAGATGTCTATGGCTTTCACATAGGACACCTGTGAAACCATCAAAATCAAATCAGTGAAATCACTCAGCGAACATTCGCGTTTCTGCCTTGTTAGGCAGTGGCATGAAAGAAAGATGGAGTTACAAACTCTGTGTCAGGAGTTACATGTTAGATTATTAAATAATTACTGATGTAAGCAATACTGCTTTACATACTTTTGGGTAATTTAAACTGAATGCTTTCCTATGTAGTGGAGTATTTTTGCATTGTGGTAGTACCATTATTTAGACTAAGGCAAACAATCTGTGTGCTTCTTCCACGACTGCATTTTCAACCATTTACGCAGTCCTGTCTATACTAGTACAAGACCTATAGGGCTTAATGCATCAGCAAAAAAATTCAATACAATTGTCTTCAAACTCCTGTCAGAACCAACACTAGGAATTAAATTTCTCTGATTTTATTGTAATTCTTTTTTTTACTTTTGCTTTCTTGAGATTTTGTCAGCTTCATATATGGAAGGTTTCTCCTTATGAGTCAAGTAGTAATTAAACATTTCAAAATTAAAAAGGTTTATTGCACACATCCAGTGACCATTTTTTTCTGAAATTGTCCAGAATTTATAATAAACAATGACTTGCACAAACCAAAGTGTCTGACCTTTGGAAGGGAGGCCCTGGAGCCGGAGCTCTGCGTGGTCATAGTGAGCACTGTGGTGATTCCCAATCCCACTCTGGCCGGAGCCGCATCCATGTTGATCCAGAAAGACACCCAGGACAGGATGACAGTGAGCAGGCTCGGTATGTACATCTGAATCAGGTAGTAGCCCATTTGACGCTCCAGGTAGAATTTGACCTCAATGCAGGTGAATTTACCTAACCACAGGAGGAGATACAGGTACAAACTGACAGTCTTATTAGAAGTTGATTGACAGTACGTATCAGGGATGTTGGCTGGCAGGTCGTCGGGTGTCATGTACCTGTGTTGTAGTGCTTGGTGCAGTAGCCGAGGCCTTTCTCCTCATTCAGCACAAACTGAGGGAGTGTCAGATCGTCGGCCACCTGCACCGCTCCCACGTCCAACCACTTAAAAATAAGATCATTCATGGTGTAGCCAACTAGAGGAGAGAGTCAAGTATACTGTAAGTTTATTTAGAAAAAATCTATATGTAATGTTTTAAAGCCTGCCTTGAAAGATCAACTCACAGCTTTCGAGCTGCATTATACACGTCTGGCTGTCCATGGGGAAGTTTTTCAGATCCATGGGGCAGGAAAGGGTAAGTGTCAACCTGGAAAACAGACAGCAAACAGGAATGCTGTATCAAATGAAAAGTTGTGTGATACTCTCACACTCCATCCTAGCTAGATACCCAAGTTAGCCCCCGGAACTAAACCGACAGCACCAGCCTTCTCCTGCTTATGTGTCACTCAAACCCTTTTTGTACACTCACCCTACATTACAGGTTGCATCAAGCAGCTCTAACCTCTTTGGCACCTGTCCTCCTGTCCGTCTGTCTCCTGCACCGCGCCCCACACAAACCTAACTGAGCACTGACAGGTGCTGACTGACAACATGTCAGCCTTTGCGGAGGGCTTGACGTAAAAAGAGCTGAGAACACAGCACCACAATCAGTAAAAATAGAAGAGTGCTTCCCCTCTCACAAGACATAGCGATCAAGATATAAAAAAACCCCATTCCTTAATAGAGGTGTTGGCAAGGATTCTACTCATGTCTAAGTAAGTATTCTAATGAAAATCCTTACCATTCCGCTACAATTCACCACTGCTTTAGTGCCACGTCACTGACCTGATTCTGTTTTAGCCTGGAGTTACTGTTTAACATGAACTTGTTCACAGTGGGTGCTGGACAGTACAACGACAATTGTATTGACGTGTATTGACATGTTGTTGGATATATATATATATATATATATATATTTAGTGGTTTAGACTACAGCACATAGAGGTTATATTCAGTTGGCCACTCAACAAACCACAGAAGTGGATTTGCAATGTCTGACAGAGGTACAGCCTAGTGCATTATTCAGCCAGACTCATGATTTTAAAAACAGGTCACCTGATGCTGTAGAGGACATTTCCATTCTGGAATATCCGAAGCAGTTTGTTGTCTGTCGTAACCTCGTGAAAGTTTGCCCCCTTTTCATTTGCAAAAAACAAGTCTGGCTTCCAGATGGAGTCCAACATTGAGGGGTCCAGGTCCAGAGAGTCATCTGGGTACTCCTTATATGCCAGTCGAGGGTCATTCCACTGCTGTCGCAGAAATACATTGAGCCGGTAGTCCTACGGTATGGAATGAAGTCATAGTTAGAAATTAAACCAGTTCTAGTTACAGAAACAAAATATGTTGCCATAAGTGGCAGCTGTGGCATTTATACCATAGCAGAATCATATTAAGAGTTTCTAGGTTTGTCAGACAGATTACACTATTTTGCATGTGTCTATACATCTAATTATGGTGTCATTTTAATAAACCTTGTGAGAGGGCCAAGATCATATGAATAAAGCATAAGTCACAAGCAAAAAACAAATCAAAGCAGTAACCTGCAGCATCTCTCAGCAGGTGAGGAGCACTGTGCCCACGCAAACTCTGACAGTGTGAGCAAAAAACAAAAATGAAGCATAAATGCTGACAAACAGACTTGAGTGCTCATAACCTGAACGACAGAAAACTCCACTTACAATATCATCAATTAAAATTTGATGGCCCTCCCTAGAGGTATTTTACAAAATGCATGAGTCTTCCTAACTCGAAACTTGAATATAAAAAAAAACAAGACTGTCCATGGGGCTCATAAATAAATGATAGTCCCTTATTTGACAGAGACAGAGATATGAGAAAAACATAGCTGACATTACAAGATGCTGTTTATAGTCATTAATTAGTCATAATCTAATGACAGTATGCTTAGGCATCATGAAATGTGCTCCAAATGGCCTCTCCAAACAGAGGGAGAAGATTCTGGCTCTTCTCCCTCTGAGGCTTCAAATGAATAAGAGTCTGATGCATCTGATAAATGAGCATTCACCTGCTCTGTTGTCCAAATAACATAGACTGAAATCCTTGCACTGGCAGCAAGTTAAACCATGTAAGGCTTTTTAAAGCAAGTTAAATAAAATCAGTTCTGATATATGACTCATCACTCTTTGTTTTCAGTGTGTTTGTTGGTTAGGGAGTGCTAAGAAATAAAGAACTTCACTTACTCCACTAAATTATTCCAAAATGTAATCAACTGATTGATTATTATATAATATTACAGATTAAACTACCCAGCAGTAGTTACAATTAGCCCCATCTTTACCAGCTGCAACAGTAAAGTGATGTTTACACAATAATACATCAATAACTGTAATCCAATAATATATAATTCTGAAATGGGCCATTCTGCATAATGACTACTTTTACTTTTGGTACTTTAAATATATGATGCTAACTTGCTTACATTAAAATTTCAGTGCATGACCTTTACTTGCCACAGATTATTTCTGCAGTTTTATTGCTATTTTACTTAAGTAGTGAGTTCCTCCCCTGTTGAAACATGATACAGAAGTTCTGTGACAAGTTATATGAGCAGGAGGAATTATTTTGAGTTGCACATGTTGAGTATAAGTATGAAACTGACTACTACAGACACCTGAATTATTATTTTTTTGGCATTTCCTTTCAAAGTGGCATTATTGTGTGCAAAACGTATCATGAGGAAGTCCTTGCTCTTAGTGGATACCATTTAAAACCTCACTTCCCCTTGCTCCTACAACCCTGCACAGTAAATCAGAAGCTTACTATTGGTACAAGCAGCAGTTATGTGAAAGAACGACAAGTCTACTTTATCTAAAACCTGTGGAAGACCAGGTACAGTAATACAGATGAAGACAGATGCAGAGGAGTTCAATCATTGCTGAAATAAAGTGTAAAACCTACTTCACTAATATCCATATTGCAATGATCAGACGATAAAAGCAGATGTTTACCTGCTTATATTTTCCACATGATCTACATGTTTTGATCATCCAAATAAAGTGTGTGGACACTGAGGGTTAAAAAGAAAATTCTCACCATAGTTGTTTCAGTGATGGATCCGAAGCTGTTGATGAAGATGTTACAGGTGACATTGACCGGAGGACCTGACAGAGGCAGATTGTCATCACACATCACAGTCACTAGTTTTCTTAAATACCACTGATGATGTTTTCTAAGGAGACCACATTAAGTATTGAAGGCTTTAAAGAGCAAAGCAGTCCCCGCAAAATAACATCTGCTTGTTCTCTTCATAACGTGTCATGCTGTGTCCTGATAAATAGACTCCAACATAATCAGCATGAAATTGTGTTGTCATTTCCAGTATGCTCCCATTAGTGTAGTCCATCTGTCGACCACTGAAACTTTAAATATTTCAGCGACTCATTTCCTGAGAGGCAATAATTTATTGATTCTCCTTTAGTTACATTAGTGTATATATAGATAATCAGCCGGGATTTACCCAGCATGCACTGACAAGGATGTGGGGCAAGTATGAAATATATATGAAATGCGACCCCAGAGACTAAGGGGGAAGTATGTCAGAGGGAATCTGCTGGCTTCACTCACAACGAGAGATCAAGATTGGCTCTAAAATAGGCCTGTGGGGTAACATAGCTGCACATTTCTGACAAAAGAAAATCTTAAAGAGACGTCTGTGTAAAAATATCACAACCTAAGGCTGTGGGTCAGCATAAAAACAGTAACACATGACAAAAAAAGAAAGAAAAACAAGGCTCCTGTGTGAAAACATCACAGCCTGCAGCATCTCTCTCTTCTGACCCATCTGTGAATGATTTGTGCTCCTTCACTGCCCAGATTGTTACTTTAAATGAGCAGCGCACTTTCTCACACCTGTCCTCGACGGAGGAAGTCCTCCCACTGCATCCCACAGTGCATGTTACCTTTGAAGTTTGGTCTGATGCGAGCGTCATAGCCAGATGTGCGTCCCATCAGTTTGTCCAGAAAGTCAGATGGAGAGGGGGCCTTGGTTGCCCTGCTGGATAACTTCATCTCCTTACAGAGCACAGACCTGCCAGGTGATGGGAAAACTAACTCTGGATGTACTGATATTTAATATTTAATACCTACAATATTTGTCATTTAGCTGGGAAAAGTGTTTTATTGGCTGGCATCTCATGCAGTTGCCTGTGCCATAAAATCCTGCATCTTACAATAATGAAAATTTTCCCTTTAATTATAGATTACAAAACATTTCATGCATAATTCTTCTGATTTTAAGAGAACAGTAATGCCCCATGGTCAAAGAAGCACATCATCATCATCTAATGTCTTATTATCAATAGTTTTATGTTGCCACTGTAAAATCATTTAAATATAGTAAATCCACTGTCAAACAAACATTCATTTACATTACAATGGCTACCGAAGCAGCAATTCACAGAGCTCTCCTATATGAATCAAAACCGTTTCTTACCTGCCTTGCAGAAATATGACAGATGAAGCCCATGTCATACACAAGATGTGCAACAGCATTCTTAGTTAGTATAGACAGTAGATATAACACCAATAGAGGAGAAAGAAAAAGAAAAAGAAAAAAGCAGAGATGCAGGGAACTTGTTGTTGCTCATCCAGCCAGGCTCTGTCTTCTGGACTCAGCTGAGCATCCCTCCCTCTCTGCAGGTGTAAATACAGGAAGCTGCTGCTGTATAATTCAAAATCCTAGGGAAGTTTTTTTTTTTTTTTCTGTCCGTGTATGTGGGGATGACTTCAAGCTATCTCTTTTTCATGGCTATATGCATGTTCAAGGAATTACTGCTAGAATATTTAAAGAGACAGGGGCATTTTCAAAGAGGAGCGGCCAACATTGCTCTTCATGACAGCATCAGATTAGCAGGAATATTTGTGATTCCAACCAGACACGTTACATTTACAGTCACACTTTTGCTGAAAAATGAAGACACAGTATATTGAATTAAAAGATAAAAGTATTTTGTAATAAGATGTCATGTTTTACCATTGATAAAACATTTCTAAGTAACCACACAGCACTGCAAGTAATTATGAACCCAAATCCACAAATTTGACAGAAGCTAATAAATATGTAATATAATACAATGGGATTTACAAGGCTCTCTTCCATTACCATAAATAAAAAAAATATCAGTCTTTAAAATGAGAAAATTCACATTAATTTAAAAGATACAGATATCTTCTACATTGGCTGTTTTTTATTGGTATGTTTTTCATATTGTGGTGATAAATTGTTAAGTGTGTAAAAAGGACCATCATCAGTACATAACTTCCTATAGTGTAAATATCTACAGATCTGATCATTAGCTCAAGATCAAATTGTCTACAATTACAAGAACAGCATTACAGCTAAAGGGAAATAGGATGGAGGCATAAAGTTCTAATTAAATCAAGTGTAACACTTCTCTTTAAGTGTCAGTACACAACCAGAGGTTATTTCTTTAGCAGATTAGTCCAAGGTTTCTGGTCTAATTATTTCATCTTCAATTCGGCGGACAAATTCAGATAGAAATGTGGAAGCTCATGTTTATTCCTCCATACAGAGGCGGACGCAGTTTGGCCATTTACTCATGTAAAATTAATGTCAAAGAAAGCGACGGGACATTATGGCTGCACGTGTTTGCTTCACACTTGAGAGGCCGCTCCACACTTCGCTCTGGAGCCCACAGTGTCAAATAGGATAAGAAATGTGTGAGGATATAAAACATGAGTGCATTCCTAATAACAAGAAGCCCACAGTAGAGAGAGAAAAAAAAAACAATGTTTCTGCATGCGTGAACATTTTCACCTCCGGACAAGATAACTAGGCCAAGCTTCATTTTAATGTTGTTTTGTTGGAGCTCACATTGGCTCTACTTAATTAAAAGTACTTCCTCACACACTGTAAAAAGTACTCGTCAGGTGCTCTTGTCTGTTCACCTTCAGACCTTTAACACCACCTCCCTCAATTTGAGAAGTTCCAATCAGTTGTATGACCCAAGTAAATTCACCAAGCAGCCCACATTGATTAAAATGCTTCAGGACAGATGAGCTCAACCACACAGACTTTAACATCCATCACAGCTCAGGAGGCAGGTCAACTCATCTGTCATCAGTGCTATTATATAGGAGCAAAATAATGGGATCACTCCAATTTAAAAATAGCTTTTATTGCAGCTTTTCTCACGACAAGCTGCTCTGATCACACAGAGGAAAACAATAATCCATGCTCGACATTTTCAGCCTGGTGGGGGAAAAGCAGACAAACAATCACATCTTGACCACGATTTCAAGAAACATGACAAGTTTGGCGGAAGATGAGACTGATTTCTCCTGAATAGAAAAAAAGAAACAACAAACCAGGCAGATAGAAATTCCAGATATTAAAATATTTCAGCAACATCACGTAATTTACATTAATTCTCCCGTTTTTCATGTATGATCAGTCGTGTCTTCAAGAGTGTGGAAATAGCTGTCAGAGTTCAGTCTTAAACATGATAATGAGTCTCAGCCTCCACCATCTTAATCCTCGTGGATGTTGAAGAGTTTGGCCACTTCATTCAGATCTGCGTGTTCCTCTCCATCCTTGATTATCTACAAATAACAGATATAAACGGTTTACAATGAACAAGTCTATATTTGAATCCTCACTATGACACACTTTTCTTACACTGTGCGTACCTTTCTTGCAATGGGCATACGGTTGAACACGTTCCACAGGATGATGCCCACCACCACCTTGTCTCTCAGGTAGAAGATGACTCCTTTCCCGTAGTCGTCTTTGTGCTGCACCATAGCGGGAGCAGGCGTTGAGGACGCCACTGGGCTGGTGGCTGTGTCCTCAGTTTCACTTTCCGAGCGAATCCCAGTTCCTGCGATACATTTAACGAGTAAGACTAAACCTGACCCTTGGTCCTCAAAGTCACTGTTTATTTTTGCTTAATGGGATTAAGATTTGTTTAACTATGTGGTAAATCCTCCTACCTGACTTCTCTGTAGCAGCTTTAGGTGTATCCTTGGCAGTGGCTTTGGCAAACACTCCTACTGTTGGTAGGCTGCTGTCAACAATCCCAATTGCCTCGTAGCCTACATCTGGCCCCAGGTCACTCCTGTGTGAAACCACATGAGATTGGAAAACATGTTGAGGGAATAATATGACTTAAAGCTCTCAGAGTAAGAAGAATTCTTAGTCCATTTATTTCTTTTTCCTGCGCTGTGACAAGACCTTTCAGTGATGCATGCAAAGAAAAAAAAACATACTTTATTTCAAAGAAACGGCTTGACACCCCCCACATCCTAATGATACTGTTTTTAGTTAAACTAATATATACTGACATTGCTAGCTGCAATGTCAGTATATATTAGCTTAACTTAACAGTTAAGCTTAATGTCATTTTGTACCAAGTAGTGTCAACTACATTTTCTAAGCAAAAACAAAATATTCTGCAAATGTATGTTAAAAATAGTTTTGCTGAAGTTCATCTTCCAAAGTAAAGTACAGCAACTTCTAGATTTTAAAACTTAACTGTCAAAACAGCTTCCAAAACAGTGTATATGTTTGTGTACCTCACACAGCTCCTAGTCTAGACATGCACAAACACACACACACGCACACAAAACAAACAAGGTTGAGGGGGCACTCGTTAAAAATTTAGCTGTGAACTTCACTGACAACCCCCCACCGCCACCTGATGAGTTTCAAGCTGGGCGATGACCTGAAGTAATGTCACAGCCAACTGACCTTTACAAATTACCTGCTGTGGTCATTCTGCCCAGAGAGCCTGTACATACACTAAATGTGGCATCATTCAGACCTATAATCAACAGGAGTGTTAGCACAGTAACTCTGAAAAAGTGCCATCATTCCTGTTAAACTCTGTTAATAAACAGGCTTTTAGTGTGACACCTGCAGACTTACAGTAAATCTGCAGGCTTGCTTTTATTTGTGAGTTTTACCATTTGAATTGTCCTTGAAAAAGTTTGTTTTACATTCAGTACTTGACCAAAAAGTTTTCAATGACGAGTGAAAATGGAATATGGACTGAGGGTATCTGTATGTTCCTAACAAGTTAAATATTAAAAACATGGACATGACGGTGTTTAAATGAACTAACATCCCATTTACACCTGGTATTAAATTGCAATCTCTATCCAGAAACGATATCTGGACAAATGACAAAATTATTATAATGAAGAACTATAGTAGTAGTACTGTAGTAACAACTTCCATATCTTTTTTTTTTTGGCCTTTTTTATGCCTTTATTTGACAGGGACAGCTGGAGAGAGACAGGAAAGTGGGGCAGAGAGAGAGAGGGGGCGACATGCAGCAAAGGGCCTCGAACCCGGGCCGCTGCGTATATGGGTCGCCAGCTCTACCGACTGAGCTAACCGGGCGCTACAACTTCCATATCTTGACAACGCGTCCGGCTACATATTGCATTTTTAGACCAGGTGTAAATGGGGTCTAACTACCACCGCTGCTACTGAATGATAAGGGGCTGTGTGTCCTGTTACTTTACCTTTGCTGTGATTATGCAGACACATTACACTGTCATTCATAGGAGTGACCCATGATAGTTTGACGAATGGACCTGTGTTGTTGTTTTTTTGGGACCGCAATGAACCCATGTTGTCAGCAGTTGTCACATTTCACCAGCTGCTAGAAGCATGCAGTCACAGCATTCGTCTGTGTAGTGCGGGCCACACTCCACACTGTAGTTACTTTTTTGGCAATTCCCTGAATATCTGGTAGAGTCCCCTTGCGATCATATCAGTAATGTTTTTAACAGAGTTAGTACATTTATGATGGGTTTAAAAATGTCTCGCCAAGTAACGCAGCACTCTGGTGGAAAGTCCTATCCTAATGTCCTCTAAAAGGCATTTTAAATATTTCAGAACTTAATGGTATTCAAGACTTCAAAGCAATCATGCATGTTCATCTGACTTCTAAAAGGATTAAATCTGAGTCATTTGCAGAATTGTACATGCTGCCCCAGTGCCCGCTTATTTAAATGTATTCAATGAATGTGGACCTACGCAATCAACAATTCAGACTAGATCTCACTTTCTCAAATATTTTCCTTCATTTCCACTTCAAGCTGGTTTCATAGCTTGCAGCCACAGCAGTTATTTGGGAAACAGTTTGAATCTCTGACCCATGAAAACCTTAAATTTGCATCACTAGCAGGAAATATGAAGTACTGCAATACCCACCAGAACATAGACTGATGCCAGTAGGGTTTGTTGGCTCCTGTCATGTTCTCTCCTGCTAGTCTCCCACTCACAACGGCGTGATCATGGTGCTCCACTCGTCTGCGGCCCAGTCTGATATCATAGAAACACGCAGCATCTCCTGCCTGAATCCGAACAGATAGGTGGATTAGAATTTCAAACTATATTAAAACTATATTACCATTATATGTCTACAGATGCGTATGGTTTCTGGACCACGACCTAAGTTTGCCTGAGGAGGGCGCTATAATACAAGTTAAGTTTGAAAAGATCAAAGGCATACATTTAAGATTCCTTGATCTACTGAGTAAAGCATATTGAACCTAAAAAACCCAGTAAAGTGGATTTAGGATGTTTGTGCTTTTTACCAACTCTCCATAAAAGTAGGCAATAAAAAGAGTGGCCATGTTTAAATAAATATGTTTGCCCAACTAGAAAAGGAGATAAAAATATAGCTGAAATAGCCAAATGGGGTTTAGCATAAACAGCAAAAATTGCTCCCACAACTAGTGACACCTGCTCTTCAATTTCCAAAGCCAGTCAAAATCCGTCACTATTTTTACAAATTACAACAGTTTATTGTCTTTGGATTACTTAAACTCCCTTATAAATATTAACTTACCACCCAAATATTGGATCTAGCTTGCAGCTCTGCATTGACCCGGTAGCCACCAAAGTCAGAGTCCACCTCCAGACCTGCTGACTTAGCAAGGTCAACATTGGGCTCCAGGCCAACAGCTGCAACAATGTGATCAGTTTTCACCTACAAGGTGAAGCACAAGATAATCAGTAACTAATAAGTCATTTCTTGAATTACAATGAACTTGTGCAAAAACCTACCAATCGGCCATCCTTCAGTTGGATTTCTAACTTATCATCTTTGCAGGTCACAGATTTCACCAAAGCTTCTGAGATGACTTTTACACCCTCTAGAAAACCGAGGACGGAATATTTCATAAATGGAGAAATGAGATAAAAAAAAATAAAGCTTAGACAATTAAGACAGTTAAGACATGCTAGAGTACAAAATGGACATGAACCTGTCTTGACTTTTTCTGTTGTCCAGTTGCTCAGATACTCAGGCAACACTTTTCCCATGTTGCCTTTCTCAGGATACATCTGTATCACCTCCAGGCCAAACTCGTTTGCTGAAAAAAGGAGAAAGAGGATCCAATGATTCAATTCAAAACAAAATGAGTTCTGTTAAACATCAATGTTATTACACATTCTGTCATTTTCTCATGTAGTCCAGTAGACTTACATCTCCTGCCAAGGGCACAAGCCAGCTCGCTGCCCAAGAAGCCCCCTCCAATGATTGTGATGGAGTTGATGTTTCTGGAGACCTTATCCAATGATTTGAAGTCCTCGATCTGTGGAGGAGAACAAATTTACTCTTTTGTTTGTCACACACACACACATATATGTCTGTCATACCGCTCTGTGCACCTATAATGGGACTGCAATGACTCGTATTGCAAGAAAACCTCTTTAAAATGTAACATCATAGAAATAGTGGACAAACAGTAAAAGCTGCACACACTGCAGTCCCCTTAAAACCATTGGAGTAACTGAGCAATCCATCTTTGTATATCTCATTAAACATAGATGTAATATTAGGTTTTAGAGTGAATCAATGTTTTTTTCTATTATTATTATTATGATGATTATGATAATTATTACGTATGTTTGCTCACACTAGAATCTACATTCAAAGAGTATTTCTTGTTATCCAACAAATAACTTAATGTTCATAATTTTGATGATATTTCCATCATGTCATACCTTTACTATTACACCCACAGCAAAAATATGACACTTATCTGGAGCTTTATACTATCAGCCAGAAACTGCCCAACTGAAATAAAGCTCTCGCCTCCTTGTGGCTAAACACTGACCTTGCGGAACAAAGTTGTCTTCTTCATCACTTCCTCTCCTGCTCTTTCAATGACCTGCAGATTTCTTGGCATTCCCCCTGAAGAGAGCAGTTCAAATTAGCTTCCACCATGTTTAAGCCACATGTGGTAAACAAATGCATTTTTTAAGTGACTTACCTGTAGCAATCAAACACTTGTCATATGAAATCTCAGTATCATCGTCAAGTTTTACTTTGTTTCCTCTCACATCCATGTGAACCACCTGAAATTGAATAAATCATGTATTAGCTGTCAGAAATCTCATTCAATAGTCAAAAAGTATCCTCATTTCTGGTATAAATAATATATCCAACTACTATAATGTATATAATTATAAAGTCAGCACACTGTCTGTACCTTTTTGCCAGTGAGAACCGCCACTCCCCCATTTTCTGCACTTTCCAATTCTTCTGGAGGAATGTAGAATGATGCTGGCTGGAAGTAGATACTGCCAAATAAATACAAAATGTTTTAACATCTCTGAACATTTTACTTAACATTTTACCAAAAGCACAAAACTTAAACACACCTTCTTTCCTTTCCATTCCACTGTTTGAAACGCAGTGTTTCTGTCACACTGGGATCATCAGAGAACCACAGTTCCTTTGAAAGGGGTGGTCTCATGTATGGAAGGTCTGGCTCATCCGTCACAATCAATACCTGGTAGCAAAAAAAATAAAAACACAAATATAACTGAGAAACTAAGGTACAACAAGGTGGACTGGATAATGAACTGAATTCTGAGCTTTTATTGTGGAAAATAGAGGCTTGACTGACCTTGGCACCGGGGTCTCTGGCTCGAATAGACCGGGCAGCAGCAAAAGAGGCGGTACCCCCACCAATCAGGAGGTAAGGGGTGTGTGAGGGGACCTTGAGAGAGGCAGGTACGACGTCCACTCCTGGAGTTGGCATGAGAGAGCGAGAGCAAGCACGAGAGAAAGGGAGGGTGAAAGAGAGGAGGGAGAGAGAGTGAGAGAAATGCAAAAAGCAAAGACAGGAGAGCGGCATAGTCAGTACAAGGTCTTAGATGCTCATTATCACACAAATACACCTGAAAGGAGTAAATGGAAAAAGAAATAAAATTTATCATGTGAGTGAGATTAAACTTTATCACTACAAGAACCCAAACAATGTGGAAAAGACATGAACAGGCAGGGTAAACAGCTGTAATGAGAAAAACTGTTAAAAACAAATAGAAGAAGAAGGTGTTTGAAATTAACATTAACATTATCAGAATGGGGGGAAAAAAGTATCGGTGACGTGTCTGCCCGCTTCCCGCTCCAACCGAGGCTGGACTATGGTCTTACCACTCTCTGCCACAACTTCAGGTTGAGACTCGGGTGGCTCTGCTGCAGGGCTTTCTGCTGCTGCTGTAGGTTCTGTTAGTATAACCGGAGCATTAACCAGTTAAGACAAAATAAACCCTCAGATGTGGTAAATGTACATCGCTGGTTCCATGCACAGCTTACCACTCTCCACAACAGGTGCAGGGGACGGCTCTGTAAGCTCAGCAGGGGGAGCCTCGGCAAGCTCAGCCAGGGGAGGCTCTATGAGCTCAACTGGGGGAGTCTCT